AGTTACAAAGCTGGAGGCATCAGTGAGCTAAGATTGTGCCACCGCACTCCAGCTTGGGTGACAGAGCAAGACCTAATCTCCAGAAAGAAAAAGTTACAAAGTGAAAAGTCAGTCTCATTCAATCCTATTCTCCAGGCTCTTCTTTTTCCCTAAGGACATGCCCCTTTACTATTTTACTGAACAAAATAAGCCCCTTTATTGTATAAAATAAGCCATTTATTTTCCCTGGGGATATGCCTTTTTTTGTTTGTTTACAACTTTTCTTGTAATCAAGTCTGTAATAACAGCTAGCTGTTCATCTTTGCTAAACTGTATCAAAAAATGCAGTAAACATTCCTGAACATGCTTCTCTGCATGTATGTGGGAATACACCTGTGGGGTAAATAACCAGAAATAGAACTACTGTGCTGCCAAATAGCTTTCTGCAGAAGTTTTATTTATTTATGCTCATCACCAGACAGAAGCTTTTTGATCTTCACATATTCAGCAGGTAAAATAAAAACTCAAGGTTTTCATGTACATTTCTGAAAATGAGCATCTTTTCAAGTGCTTAAATGCCACTTAAAATTTCAGGTTCTCTGTGCTGTTTGTTCATAACAGTTCCCATTTCCCCTCTGATTCAGACTATTAGTTTTTATTATCTTACTGATTCTCAGAAGTTAGTTTTTATAAGAAAGAAATATTTGTAAGTGCTTTCTTTGTGAATCTGAGGTTTATCTTTGCTTTATTTATAGCATTTCTTTTCTTTTTTACATCATGCAGAAGTTTGATTCTATAGTACTTTCTTTAATGGTTTCTAAGTATTTTGTGATATTTAGAAAAATCTTTCATACCATATAATAAATTTCATGTTTTTTTCTTGTATTGACATTTTTGTGCCACCTAGAATTAATTTTGATATAAGAAATGACGTAGGACTCCAACCTATGTTTCCACATTGCCACCAAAATGTACCCAATATTTAATGAACAATTTGAGAATGACTTAAAAGAGATCAATAGGAACATAAAGACAAAGACTGAGACATAATATTTTAAATTTCATTTTAAAAAATCATAATTAACTAAAGATTATTATAATATAACAGATAGGTGCTTAATACTAACACATAGCTCATTTAAAAATCTAAAATAACCACAAAAATACAGAGAAGATTAACTGATCAAAGGACAGATGATCTCATAAGATACACAAATGACTAAACTTACAGAAAGATATAAAATTTCACTAATAAACTAAGATTAAGCTGATACAATAATCATTCACCTATCAAATTAAGTACTTTAAAAGATGATACTCAAAACTAGCCAAGCTGTGGTAAGCAGTCAAGTTCAAACACTGAGTGTGTGTACTACTAATGATATAAATATCTCTTAACAGTATGTGTCAGGGATTCTTAAAGAGGATCTTACTCTTTCGATTAGTAAATTGAGTTCTAAGACTCCTCAGCTATATCAAATATGGAAAATGTGTTAGGCACAGAATTGTCAAAGCTTTATTTTTAGGGCGGGGAGAAAAAGCCCAAACAAAATTACCTACAATAGAAAAACAGCCAAAAGATTACAGAGTCGGACAAGAATATCATTTTGTAGCTATTCGAAGGAGTACTAAATATACACTGAGTATCCCTAATCTGAAAATCAAAATTTGAAATGCTCCAAAATTCAAAACTTTCTGAGTGCCAACATAATACTCAAAGGAAATGGTCATTGGAGCATTTTTTGTATTTCAGATTTTCAATAGGGATGCTGAACCAGTATAATACAAATATCCCCAAATCCGAAATTCAAAACACTTCTGGTTCCAAGTATGTCAGATAAGGGATACTCAACCTATATAATAATGTTTACAATTTGAGAGGAGAAACAGGATATAAAACTGCAGATCTAGTATTACAAGCAAACACAAAACAACTAAACGGAAAAATTAAAATGTCAATTAATAGCTATCTGGGTAATTGCATCTTTTTATTACTTTTTGTATTCCCTCAATATTCTTTACTGAACATCTGTTAGACTTATCATGAAAGCCCCAAGCTATCCAAAATAAATTGAGAGTGATTCTACACCAAGCAATTTGTATAAAAACATACTGAGTAAGGTTTTATTATATTACATCACATTCGACTGGAGCAGCATAGTGGGGGAACTTTGACACTACTGCTGGTCAGTCACATGACTAACAAGTTAATGACCTTCATTTGACTCTGAGACTAAGTAGTAAACATGGTCTGGCAGGGATGAAGCACACACAGAAGCCAGTACAGGAAGGGTCATAGCACACACCAACTTGCTGGTCCTCAAGAGTCACAGTCTGTTGTTCATCACACACCAGGACCACCAGGTTCTTGCTGCTGGACACCCCTCCCCCCTCCAACATCACAGCTGCAGAAACTCACTCCTAAGCCACTTCTAGGTCCAGTGGTCTCAGTGCTCACCAGTTGCTAGGACCTTGGTACCAAGATCTCCTGGTGCTTGCTAGAATCACAGAATCTTGAGTTCATCCTGGTACTGGGGAAAAAGGGCCTTTAACAGCATCCTCAGGGGATACATACGCCTATTAAAGTCTCAGCAGCTCAGAGACTAAGGAATTCAATCAACTACTGAATTCCAGCACTGCTACCACCCAGCCTCCTATCCAGTCTCATCCCTGGCATGCTCTCTACTCCCTCCCCTAGCTCCCTGTCTTTCTCTAAACCCTTCCCCTGTGTCCTCTCTCCAAATATGCAGAACCTTCAGAGAACAGAGCCTGTACCTCCTTATTCTGACTACATCGTGGCCAGCTCCTGGGATCCCACCTTCCTCACTGCCACTCAGCCATTCTCCCCAACTGCCACAGTCTATGTCAGGCACCAACCTTAGGTCACTCTTTCATGTTCATATTCAGTTTTGGTACCAGTGTCACTGTCTTCTCCACTCCAATCCTCCATTATGCTGGCAGCCTAGGTGACCACATGGGTATCCACATAAGCAACCCATGCAACACTGGGCTCTTCATTTGGCTGCCTTCCCCAGTGACCTTCTCATCTTCTACCTTATTCTAATAATTTACTTCCATAGTCACACCATGAATCTTGACATAAAATAAAAATACTCTCCTCCTCCCAGATTTCTGCTTGTCTCCACTGAGGAGCAAACATTCATCCCAGCCCTACCCATCCTGAGAATACTTCCTGGGCCCAGTTCCCTACTCAAAAGGGGGTGCCATCACAGTCATAGACACACATCTCTGCTCTCCTTCTTCCCTTGGGAAGTCTGCTTCCCAAATCTATCCTATGTTCGGGGCAGACAACCCCTGAACTATATGACCTTAAGTCATACAGTAAAAGTACTGCTCTGACTTCATGTACTTATGAATGACTTCAAGCTTCCAGTAAAACAGCATGTTTCCTTGGACATTGTTCCTGCATTTATCTCCCTCCTATAGCAAAGCCCTCAAAGAGTGATGAGAGCCATGACTGCCAAAACCACACTCCAATCTCACCTCCAGATTTACCCACCCAGATGCTGTGGTTCTCTGCTCGAGTTTTTCTGCTTAATTACCTGATTACCGCCATGACACTTGCTCTTCAAAGCATGGTTCATCCCACTCTATCAGACTCACCTATTTTCACTCTTCCCAGTCCAGCTTAGATCTTATGGTCCATTGTATTTTAAAAACTGAACATTTTCCCCAAAGTCCCTGCCTCATTCTCTTTTTGTCACATCCAAGAAAGCCCTATCCAGGACAAAGCCAGTCATCATCTTTCCCAACATTTGGACCTGAACTCCTGGGAGATTTTTTAACAAATTCATATAACAGGACAGACTGGTATCATTGTAATTTATGGATCTCCAATCTCAACTGGACCCCACACCCTGCCCAGTTTACTAGGTTTCCTTTCTCAGTTTGTTCTCCAGATCCCCACATGATGATTTTAAATTCCTGTACTCCCAAGCATTTGATCCCCTACCCTCAATCTACTCCTTCTTAAGCAAACCTCTTACTTTAGAGAAAAATTAAGCCATCAGCAAAAGATCCCTCAACTTTCCATCATGAAACAAGTCAACTTACCTATATCTACATCCATACATCCATTCTGCCTTCACAGGGAGCTTGTGACAAAAATGACGTCCCCTCCTGTTTCCTCAATCTCTTATTCTCTCTACAGGCACACGGGAAGGAGACTCTGGGAGCTAACCCAAGACCACTTCACCCATGCCATCTTTTTTAATGGCCCAACAACCTCGTGAGGGCCAACCCTGGCCTCAACCAGCACTGTGGCTCCAGCAGAGTGACTGGCAGACAGCAGGTACCACAAGTGTTGCCTCCTTCCGTCTCCCATCCATCAGCCTGGTCTTCTTACTTGACAAACTAAAAACAAGAAACCTCTCTAAAGTTGAGCTCTTAGGCAAGGGCCTTTTTGAATAAAGATTTTATGGAGAATATAAGAAGTGTTACTCAGCCGGGTTCGGTGGTTCAGCCTGTAATCCCGCGCCTTTGGGAGGCTGAGGTGAGAGGACTGCCTGAGCCCGCAGGTTCGAGACCCACCTGGGCAACTTGGCGAGGCCTCATCTCTACAATAAATCAAAAATCAGCCGGGCCTGGTAGCGCGCACCTGTAATTCCGGCTACTCGGAAGGCTGAGGCGGAAGGATCGCCGGAGCCCAGCGACTTGAGGCTGCGGTGGCCGGGAGCGACCACTGCACTCCAGTCTGGGTGACGGAGTGAAACTCCAACTCAAAAAAAAAGAAGTGTTACTCAATATGTGCATATTTTAGAAGCAGCTAGCATTTATGAAACCAGAGAAATAGAAAGTACAACGGTGAAATTAGTTTGGTATCTTTTACTATGAGCCTAGACCTAAACAGCACTAAGATAACATTTTTAAAATGTTCAGAATTTTGAAAAGCATTCCAGAGAAAGAACCTCTGTGATACCCCCACTCCTTAAAACTTCACTCTAAGCAGCCCTTTATCCCCTCTGTAATGCTGCTGTAGTAAGTGTCAGGTAAATCATTACCTTAGGATGGGCTCTAGGTCAGGATGTCGCCGTTCCTCCCTCTTCAGGGAACCCTGATTCAGGGCTCTTAAGATGGTCTTATCAAAAGTCTCTGAAGACAATTCCTTGGGAAGCTAGAAAATAAAAACATAATGCCCAGTGTCAAATTTCTCACTTTTGAGTTAGTTATAAGTCAGATGCATAAAATGAAGACAAGCTTCCTGCTTATCAACAGGACCCCATATGAGGTATGACCCCTTTCTACCAGGAAATGTGATGTTTCCTTCTGCTCATACCTCAGGGCTGCCCAAGGGGCAAAGTAACTCGTAGCATTCAACATGGTCTGGGATACACCTGCATGTATCTCTCACTCTAGGTTCCACATGTCACTCTCAAGTGACACAGTAAGGTTCTCTGGATGAAATGAACATTCTGTATAGCATAGTTAGTGTTCTTTTTATCCTGGAAAAGTATTCTGCAAAGTGTTCCGTATCCCTTTACAGTTAGCACTTTTGTGACTCTCGTTTTACATTTAAATCTCAGGCAATGCCAGATTACCAGTGCTATGCAGTAAATAAAGAGCTGAGTATGAGGGCAACCCCCTTGAGTTCCCTCCCGCTCTGGGAGCTCTTCTGTCCTCTCAACAAATCCTGTTTTCTTGGGGAATAAAAAAAAAGAGCTGAGTATGAAAGATGAGTAAAAACCCCTAATCTTACTTATATTAAAAAAAAAACCCACTAATTGGAGGTTTGGTAACCTTTTCCTCATATGATGGAGGAGATGCCTTCAGAGAAATGTACTAGAAACCACACACACACACACACACAAAAATCACTTGGCCAAGAAAAATTTAAAATAAAAAAAAAAACTGTATATAATCAGTATACTTTTAAAAATTCCTAGAAAATTGATCCTTTGTAAAACAAATTTCCAAGTCTTTCAGGAATTTGAAATTGTAAATTTTACTTTTGATAATTAATCTTTGCTATCAACTCCTGAATTACAGACATTTTCACTAAAATTCAGGGTAGAACCATTAACACAGCATCTGAGGAGCCACAGGAACACAAAAATCTATACAAATTGTTGGTTTACACATATTGAGCTTTGAGAAAGCCAAAGTAAGTTTTCTTTTGAAAAATAAGTGTCCTAAGTTGACAATTTGGAATCAACAATTTAACAAAAGTAGCATAAAGTATGACTACTTTCAGGTACAGCAGACTGTGGAATTAAGCCTTTCTGTCAGAAGGAAGCTCCTCCTGGTTCCTTTTCTAAGCTGGTAAGAGTGAAGACTCTGCTGGCATTCTACACACCCACTGGAAACCTGCCCTCTGACCACTAACGGGGGGAATACCCTCTGGGTCTACACAGTCTCCGAACAAGAAAATTGCTCTTCATTGCAATACTTACACTCTGATGTCAGCATTTTAATACAGACTATGACACAAGGCATATGTCACAGTACCCATTTTAAGCATGAGTTTTACTGAATATCTATACACAATCAAAGAAAACCAGCATCAGCTGAAGAAGTCTATTTCAACTACTGAGTCCCAAATGGTTTTCCTAAATGCTGAGGGCAACAGTATATAAATATTCACCAAGTCAATGACATTGTTCACATTACTGGGCAGAATATACATATGCAATCAGCAGTATTTGCAAACTTTCTTTTTTTTTTTTAGTTGGAGTCTCACTCTGTTGCTCATGCTGGAGTGCAGTGGCACACTCACAGCCACCCCAGTGCCGACCTGCTGGGCTCCAGGGATCCTTCCGCCTCAGCCTTCCAAGTAGCCCCAGCTATAGGTGCGCGCTACCACAGCCAGTTAATTTTTTTTTTTATTTACTGTAGAGACAAAGTCTTGCTGAGTTGCCTGGGCTGGTCTCAAACCCGCAAACTCAGGCAATCCACTAGCCTCAGCCTCCCAAAAGTGCTGCGATTACAGGCTGAGCCACCAAGCCTGGCCTGCAAACTGGTTTTTATCTTCTATTTCCAGTCCTAAAGAAAGGCATATTTGCTTAAAAACAAAACAAAAATACGGTTTAAATCCTACCTTTTCCATTCTAGTCACCTGTTTTGAATTTTCTTACCTTTCAGTCTTAGTTCCAGCACACCCAGCCTCCCCCTCTGGAGCTGCAGCTCAGCCTCAGAACAAGCTCAGAGGAATGAAAGGTTTTTTGTAGCTAGCTATTACAATTTTATCTTCAAACACATCGAGGCCAATGGATAACCATCTATAAAACCTCATTACAATTTAGTTTTTGAGACACTCCTTGTTCATTCAGTCAGCCAGCAAACATTCAAACTCCTATTGTGCCCCACGCACTGTTTTAGGCATTCCAAAATGGGCCGTGAAGGAAGAAACAAAAACCCTGCCCACATGGAGCAGATATTCCAGCCACCAGAAATAACAGCAGTAGCTGCCAGAAGAAAAACACAATAGGGGAAGGGGGCCAGGATGTGGAGGACGGAGATGGTTATTTATATGGAACAAAAGGATTTGAAAGCACTGACCTCACGTTCCCACACTACAGCAAGCTAGAGATAGTTCAATAGCATCTATAAAAGGGAAAGGGTGTTAGCTCATACAGGTGGTCAAAGGGACAGGCTCTGCTCTTAAACTTTTGTAGATGATGTTAAAAGGAAGGTAAAAAGGAAAAACGGCTACAGTAAACTTGAAAGGGTATTTTACAAAAGGCAGTATGTTTCTAGAAGTATACAATGTTGCAAATTGTTTCATATAACCGAAAGGTATTTATTTTAGAAAAATACTAAATTCAAATGTTGACTAAGCAGGAGGATCATTAATTACCATGACTTTGAAGAGTGAATTAGTCATGTGGGGCTGTATTTTTTCTTTTTTTTTTTTTGAGCTTTTAGAACAATGATGAGACTGAAAAAATGAGATCTGTCAAGACACGCTGCAGCTAAAGCTTAGGGAGAGAAACCCCACAAGAGAAAACAGACTGTCTGGTGCCAGGCCTCATCTGGGGTCGGCTACATGCTCTCTCATGAACTCTCACAGCACAATGGACAGGGATGTGGCACCCCACACACAAGCTGGCATCAAGTAACTCGGCCTGGATGGGGGCAGCGCTGGAACCCCGTTCTAAGACTTTTCAGGGTCAGCTCTGTCCCCCTGCAACTCACCCTCCGGCATCAGAATTCTGGAAAGGACCACTGAAGAAAGAAGGGCAAGGAGAGCAGGCCGCTCCCTAACCCAAAGGAAGCCTGTTTGTAATCACTTGTCCTCAAACTTTGAAAGGGAAACTAGAAATAAGCAGATGAGATGCTAAAAGTGTATGTGGAGGTGGAAAGGGCCAGCCCTGCTTGGCTTCTTCTATATGTAACGGGATCATCAGCCAGGCACTAATTTTCTCCAATGGGGTATGCTGCCTGGACCCAAGCCACTTTCCCCGGCATGCTCGTGACTGTCACGGTGACCAAGTCCAGCAGATGAAGCTAGTGCTCAAAGACCTGCTCCTTCTCTTTTGCCAAGCTGTCCAGAGCAGACATGTCCCAAACAGTAGCCTCTGGTGACTAGAAATGGGTGGTGGGTGGTGAAACCCACACCCTATCTTTACCTGAGGCAGGTCACTAATGAGTAGGGTGAAGGAGTCCTCAGCCCTTAACTGAGAAAGTCTAGTTTACAATAAGTCATGGAAAAGTGGGCTACTGTAGAAGTCACCCACTGGGTGCTACTTCATTCAGAGGAACTGGCAAGAAATCCAGTTGAATGAACACTTCGACAGTACATCAAACTGTGTGCTCCTCAGAGAACTCCAGCATCTAATATGCAGCTCAAAGCTCTGCAAGTTGATGAAAAAATAGTCTCTTTTAGATTTAAGAATGATCTGAAAATTATATACTCATAGTGACAAGTAGAAAAGCTAAAACCAGCACTGGCTTGAAAATTTCGGATGTTATACCATTTAGTAACTAATCACAACTTTACCCAAAACTTAGTAAATGAGTCGGGAATGTTTTCTATTTCTGGACTTCCGTTTTATCTCCCAATTAAAATAAATTTTAAAATATTTGCTTATTGAGAAATAATTTATTGATCAATTAAACCTATTCCCTCCTTTCAATATTTATTTGCTACTCATTTGCTTTTCAATAAAATCAAATTAGTATAAAAGAAACAGGTGATAATGTCATTTGGACAAAATGAACTAAGATTCTTTTCACCTCTGCCAAGTCTATGTAAGATGTTTATATTTTCTTCCTAGTCCCAGTCATTTCAAGAGCCTATCACATCGGGGTTGGGAGAGTTGGAAATCAAAGAAGGAAGAAATGGAGGAATTTTTAAATGAAGTCCACAGAGGGAGGAGACAGTTATCAAGTCTGAGAACAATGACCAAACGGAAGCAAGCCTCATCTGATTTTATAGACATACTCTTTTGGAGAAAGTACCCTTATAAAATAGCAGTCAACAATGCACATCTGTGCAAGGAACCAGAAATAAGGTTCCAATTTTTTGTAAATGTATACACTCCATCACTTCCTTAAGCTGGCAATGTAAGGTAAGAAAACATGTTTTAGAATAACATAACTTTTCCACAGATAATGTTCACTCAGAGTTCTGAGCCCATCCTTTATCTATGTGTCTTAATTTTCCTGTTTTTTGTTTTGACGTTGAGGTTTGTAGATCCTGTATGTTACGTAAAAATTATTTTAACAACAAAATCTATACTTTTACCTTCAGTAGAAATTCCTGTAGTTCTTGGTGGGTTTTTGTTACTGTTGTGACTGAAAGATCAGACCAATTTACCTGATTTAAAAAAAACACACATATTATATGGTTATTCCTTAGGCAGGAACTGGCTAGAAAAAAGCCATGTGTAAAACAAAGGGCTTAAATTTTATTAAGATTAACAACTAGAAATATAAAGTTAACCAGCATTGTCATAATTTCTTCAAAATTATTAAAATTAACTGTACATTAACATTCTACTTTAAAAAATTTTCCAATATCTCTTCAAATTGCACTTTAAAAAAAGCTATCAAAAAATGTGACTATGTTTTAGTAATTTTTCAGAAAGGGAAATGTCTTATTCTTTTTTTGTGACGCTACAGGACTCTAAAATGACACTTTAACAGTGCAGATCTATGTCATCCAAAAGATAAAAATTCTATTTCCTGGAACTTATTAAGCATACATTCCTAGGAGAATAATTAGAGTTAACTCTCCCTCTTTGGTAGTACCATTTCATGTTTTTAATGGGGACTTATGGCTAATAAAGAGATTTTATCTTTATTGCAGATCTTTAAAATTCTATTAAGATGATAGGGGCAGGTGTGTTTACCTCCATTTTCAGATGGAGAAACTTAAGCTCCAAGAAGTTTAACTTACCGATGTGTGACCCTAAGTAAGTACAAGAGCCAGAACTGAAATCTATTATGCCACCCTACTTCCTGGATACTTCTAATCCATGAACTCAACTGTGGTCCACCAATAAGTTATACCTTGCGATTATTTGAGTTAAATATTTGAGCTATGCTAATATCTAAGCCTTACCAACTAATACATTAATCAGAGTCTTTAAAATGTATTTAAAATTTTATCTAGCAATATTCAAAACTATTATCTTTATTAACTGGCATATTTCTTAAATGATTTTTAAATATTCAAATGTTTGCTAAGCAGACATTTGTATCAGGCACTGTTCTGACTCTTGTGTCAAGGGATACAGAAGTGGGCAAGACAAAGTCTTCACTGGCTGAGCTCACAGTCTGGTGCAGGAGACAGATAAAAGCAAACAAATACATAAGAATTCCCATCAGAGATCAGTGCTTTGAAGAAAATGAATAGGGTATGGCATAAGAGTTGAGAGAAGCACATCAGCTGGGGTGTCAAGAAGGACCTCTGAAGAGGAAACCTTTGAGTTAGAAGTTGTCTGTGCCCTGGTCTAAGGAAAGAGCATTCTGGGCGAGCAGATGGCGAGACCTTCAGGAAGGATAAGCTGTGAGCTCCAGTGGGCCAGTGTGAACGAGCACACAGAGCAAAGAGAGAGACACATGCCACAGCAAGATACGTGACGATCAGGAAAACTTGCAAACTGAGGATCTTCCTCCCTCAAAGCAGAAGCCACAGCTCTGATATTCATTCAATGAATGTGCCGGGCAAGTCAAACAGGGTGCAATGGCAGAGAATGAAGGTTCCTGCTCTCTATGAGAAGATATCTACTGGAAAGATCTGTGAAAGGTATGAGAGTAGCATACCTTAGATGAAAGAGGAGACATTCTGTTGGAGGGTCAGAAATAACTCCGTGAAAGAGGTGCAGCTAAAATTTGGCAAGCATTGCCTTTGGAGAGGAACTAGAGTAAGGAAGCACAAAAACATGGCATTGTTCCACTTGGCTTCAGGGTGTATGCAGTCTAACCTTAGGAGAAAAGGCTAGACAGTGGAGCCCAAGCAGGAAAGAGAGAAAGGAAGATATGGACAAGGAATCCATGTCGTGGCTGACAGGCAAAAAGGAGACATGGAGAGCCTTATCCTGGAAGTAGCAGCATCAGAGCTGGGTTTTACAGTTCATCATTTAGCTGTCTGAAGGACAGGAGACAGGAGAGCAAGTACAGGTAGAGACAAAACAAAAAAGTAGGGAACAGGAATAAAAATGTCATACAAAAAGGAGAGGAGGAGAAAAATGCCAGGGAAAACAATGCCAGGAGAGATAATGCCTGTGATCCTGATTTTAAAAATAATGGCACAAAAGGTTTAGTTTTGCTTTTTAAAAGTACATCTTACACCTTAATTGTCTCAAGCCTAAGGCTCTTATTCATTTTTAATAAACTAGCCAGAGTAATTTTAATGTGATACAATCTCAAAAAAACCCTAGCAAACCATACAGTATATACTAAAAACAGTACATTTCCTTAATTAAAAACAAATGCATATATAGCTTTTCCCTTAAGTTAGCAAACCTGCCATAAGTTTTTTCGAAGGTCATTTAACATAGTATATGAGATATCTTTTGTTTGTGAGAAGAGCTTACTTTGAAAGTGTACTCCAAATATTTGTCAGCCCTTTTTCTCTGGACTCCTTTCAACATTATCTTCTCAATGTGTACAGCTGAAAGAAAAAAAACACACACTGACTTGTTCTACAAAGACTAGATATACACTTTGCTTACCTAAAGCAACCCTAAAATTTGACAAATGTTTAACAATTAAGCTGCTTACTTTCATATTTACTGCTGGCCTTAAATAACAAAATTAAAAAAAAAAATCATAGTAGGTATGGACTAGAAAATATTTAGTTTTATCTTTAACTGGAAAAAAAGAAACTACTCAAAAATAATACACCACACTGATAAAAATTCTGTGTAACTGGGAACTTAAAAATTATTTTTCTCAAATATGACCCTCAATATCATGTAATAGTAAATACAAACTGAATATTATAACGAACTATGAAGATTCATTGTAACACAGTCCTTCATAATTTATTATAGAGATGAAATAGTGGACATAAATTATATTAAACAAAAACAATTACTCTGAACTGCACTAGATAATCAGTTTATTCATGAAGTAAGCAAATTTCCAACTACTCATTTTACACCCTCCTTTAATGAAAAGTATCACTTTAGGAAATACATCACATTTACAAAAAGCCAATTTAAAAAGAACAAATCTATTCAATGTAAAACAAGGACTTAAAAGAAATTGTTGCTCAGAGTATAAACAGAAGAAACAGTACTTACATGATAATGAAGGAGGTAATAGCAGAGTCTGATAATATTGAATATGATAAAGATCACAGGGAAGAGGTGAGAAAAGTACTCAACAGAATAGCATGGGTCACTGTTGGATTTAGGGGAGCAGGAGATGGGAAAGATGAGGGGATTCCTTAGAGGAAGAAGTTAAAATAGAGGAAGTAGAATAATAAAGAGACAGAAGTACAAAGGAGGAAATAAGATTGTTAAAGATCATGGAAGGTGGGCAACGAAGAGGTATGAAGCATGAGCCAGAAACATGCAGGGAAACAGACATTCATGATGAATAAAGGATATACCATTACCAGTGTTTTGTGCCAAGTTTCTACAAAGTGGAAAAGTGGTGGCCTGCTTCTGGGCCAGTTTCCCCTTTGTGGGCCAGAAATGTCAAGGATGAAGACAAAAAAAAAAAATCTCAAAAACCAGGCGAGAAGCCAATAACTCCTCAGAACTGTGCAACAGTACAAAGGCCAAAGTGGGGGTGGGTGGGTCTGCTGTTTTCAAAAGCTGCTATATTATTTAAAGGATGATGCTATTAAATAAAAACCTCTTATCTAATCTTGATTCAGAAGTAAAGCAGCTGTACTTCAGCAAATCACTGGGCTCAAGGTGGAGGATCTTGGATTTTGTTTTGTCAGAGCCCAGTGTAGCTTACCAGAAAAACCCATCACGACATTACAATTCCTGGGAACATGGTTGTGGTTGTAGCTTCAGCCTTGATTTCAAGTTATGTCTGCTGTTATCCATCAGAATCAAGGTAAGATAACAGAGTTTGTGGTGACAGTTAATGAGTGCCTCGAACCCTCATAAATTAAAACTGAAAAGCATGTATTTATATATTCTTTTCTAAAAGTTGGGATAAGAAAAATCATCTACAGAACCACCCCAGCATTTTTCTATAACCTTTATGTTCTTCAAAATATTTTTATTTAAAAGGGAGGGCCTTCACTGTAAAACCAAACTCTGCTTTAGGTTACTCATATGTTCACCATGAACTTAGCTGAAGAGTTCTACAGTTAAATTAAAACAGCCTAACTAGAAAGAGAAGAAAGAGCACTGTGATAGTCTTGAATAGAAGTAGCCATTAAGTAAACTACAACATTAACCATTTGGACCTATTTTCTCTCTACGCAAAAAGGATTATTATTGGGACTAAAAGGAGACATAATGACATAAATTCAAAATTGTTACAATGGGGTGTGATGCTTACCATACATCCTTGGCTAGATGGCATACATTCATTCCAAAGGCTAGATGGAATGAAAAAGTCTACTTTTTCCATTTCAACTTTTCTCCCAACACATGTTAACATACTCCGCAAATGTCTATCTCATTTCATTTCTTTTTAGATGGCAGTGTCCTTGCATTCCCCCACTCCAGCCCTCTTAAAAACTGCATTATTACAGGACGAATGGATTTGTAAGAAATGTATTTACTTTCTTACACGAAACTTCTTAAAATTTATTTTTTGGGTAGACACTGGCCTCATTCTACAGATAAAGCACTATACTAAATACTTTGGAAATATGATAAGTATTTGCCCTACAGAAACACGCAACCATGGTTCAGATACAGTTCAGACAATTGACCAGAAGGCAGAACAAGTTAAGTATGTGCTAGAACAAGACAAGGGGTGTGGAGCAGGAGGAGCCCAGGATGCAGATGGGCAGAACTGGGAGGACTGGCTTTGAGCAAAACCTAGGACCAGCAGGATTTCTCTACTCAAAAAAGGACAGTGAAGAGTTAATCAGCATAAAGAGTACCTTATAATCTTTTGATGTGTTAATACTTTAAGTTTACAAAAAATAGAGCATACCTTCTCGCTGAGCTCTATGAGGTGCCATAGTAAGTCCATCCTGAGGTATGGGAGCTTGTTCTATTAAACTGGTCTCCTTACTTTGCACATAATCACCATGAGCAGAGTCGTTCTAGATGAGAAAGAGAGAGATATGTTAATCTACACCACAGACTAAGAGTAAACGATCCCGTACAAATAAACCAGATTCAAGTCTTCTTGTTTTAATAACAATCATTTTAGTGGTAATTTTTAGAGATCAAATAGGTGACTACCTATTAAGGGAAGAAAGGTACAAAGTGTCAGAGCAGCAAGTAAAAGAACAAATACCAATATCTTCATTCAAGACGAGATTAACACTCTTATCAATTTATTTCCTGTCCAGCTTTCTTGGGACATTAAAAAACTGCATATTACTATTCAGAGTTGCCAATGATGTCAGTCCTGTACTACGCTGAACCAGAAGTGAAGGAAAACACACAATAAATGATACCATATTCAGTAATCCCCCCACAGGTAAGGGCACATGTACTTTCTACAGTAATCATTACACAACTTTTATTAATTAACTGGTTTTAGTGACTGTCTAAAAGATGTTGTTAGTAAAAAGCTTTGCAAAAGGTATAACCAATACATGCCAAATTTTTCCAAACAAAGTGGCTAACTACTAAAATTAAGTCACCAGCCAATTACTAGTGAACATCTGACTCCTAGATCTGCTGCTTGCAGTAACAAAAGGCATGCCAAATTTACACACAGCTCTCCAGAAGTCAAGCACTGTCACATACACCCGGTTACTACAACACACTGATTAAGCCAGAAAATAAAATAGCCTATTTCAGTTTTTTATAACAACTCATACCTTATCTTTCCTTATGTTTAGAATCTTAAAACATTACTCATAGCAAAATCACCTCAGCTTCAAGAGCCAATTACAATTTTATAAATCTGCAGTAAATACCACACATTGGTATTTTTTGTGTAAAGAAATGTGGCAAACAGAAGACCCTAAACTCCCCAAGAATATCAACTTAAAATATTTTGTTCTATTGTCTAATCACACATTCTGGCCTGGCGATGAGTATGGTTTGGCACTAGACAGATTTATTTCTGAGAATAAAGCACCACATTTGATAATTCTGGGAGCTAAACTTCAGCCTTACAGTCTGTCTTCCTTAAGAAACTCAATGAAGTAAAGATTGTCTACCTAGAACCATCTAATGAGAAGAGCATGGAACTTATAAGTCAATATCCAACTCTTCAAAACATTTAGCCTGACAGTATTTAAGTTTTCAATATTACTCATTTTAAAAATGCAGATAGGAATTCATTTAATAACAAAATCAGGCATATCCTAATCCAAACAATATAATCTTTTATTACAAAGTAGCAAAACCACATTTGCCTAAGAGAGATTCTGCTTCTCAAAAATTTAACACTGCTGTAAATACTTCAAAAATAACAAGAAATAAAGAGCTATAATCCTCTCAAATAGTTGTGTTAACTGGAAGAAGCTTAGCTGAATAAACCAATCATTTCTTACAGAGAAGTATTTTCCTACATGGCTCATATGTGGTTCATAAGTTTAAAATAATACTTTCAAATACAAATTAATGCAAAAAACAGTTTTCATTAGTGAAATGCAAATCAGAAGCACAATGAGATACCACTTCATGTCCAGTAAGACGGATATTATCAAAAAGATACAAAACAAATATTGACATAAATGTGGAAAAAATGGAACCCTTGTACACTCATGATGGGAATGAAAATACTACAGCCATCGTGGGAGACAGTACGACAGTTCATAAAAAAATTGAACACAATTACCATATGACACAGAAATTCCACTTCTGGGTATAGACACCCAAAAGAACAGAAAGCAGAGACTCAAACAGGTAATTTATACATCAATGTTTATAGCAGCATTTTTCACAATAGCTATAAAGTGAAAACAACTCAAATGTTCATCAATGGATGAACAGATAAACAGAATATGGTATACACATACAACTGTTTATTATTCAACCTGAAAAGGGAATGAAATTCTGATGTATGATAGGACTCAAATAAATCTTGAGGACAGCAATACAAAATGAAACATGCCAGACACAAAAGGACAGATACTGCATGATTCTACTTACACAAGGTACCTAGGATAGAATTCCTAAAGAAAGTCAATTAGTGATTACCAGGAACTGGGAGAGAGAGGACTAGAGAGTTAGAGTTTGGGAAAATCTAGAGATAGGGGTGATGATTGCACAACAATGTTAATATACTTAATGCCATTGTACAATCCAAAAGCTGTAAAATGGGAAGTTTTATATGAATTCTACCACAATTTAAAAAATGAAAACTGAAATGGGATGATCACATTGCCTCCAAAAACATTATAATATTGGAGCTACTATTAAAAAAGTAGTTTTAGAATCAAAATCACATTTTTAAAGTCCTAAGTTAGCTTTAAGAACCCAATTTAACAACCAAGAAAGCAGCGTCCTGTTTAATAACCTAAGGAGAAAAATGGAGTTTGAGTTTCTGCCCTAAGTACATCAACCCATGAAATATCTACTAATCAAATACTTCTTTTTTCCTCCTAGTCTCAGCATGTATTGAGGCTATAAAATCATCTAGACTAAGTTTAGAAAGCTATTTATAAAACATGCACATTGGGGGGCCAAGGCAGAAGGATCGCTTAAGGCCAGCCTGAGCAACATAGTGAGACCTCACCTCTAAGGAAAAAAAAATTTTTTTTTTTAAATTAGAAGTCAGCCAGGCATGGTGGCACACGGCTGTAGTTCTAGCTACTCAGGAGGCTGTGGTGGGAAGACTGCTTGAAATCAGGAGTTCATGGTTGCAGTGAGCCATGATCCTGCCATTGCACTCCCTGGGTGCAGACAGAGTGAGAACTTGTCTCAAAAATAAGTAAATAAAACTCTCATATGAATTGCTGCATGAGCTATAGATATGAGAATTATGGTATTTAGCAGCCCTAATGGTGGGCAGTGTCTGGGTGATGCTTTCCCCCTTGCACTGGACACTCATGTTTGCCTTTAACTTCTATAGGGGAAAGGTGCCATAAGATCTGAGACCTCCTGCTTTAATGGATTCACATAGAAAGGAATTACATCCACTTGCTCTATTATGTTCAGATACTCATGAAAATGCAGTACAGATGACATGTCAGAATAAGCATCTTACAAAGACTTGCTAGAGGAAAGTGTCAGGACCAAGTGAAAAGTACAGAATTCTTCTCTGCTTAAATCAAGTAGACAGAATTTAAAAATTCTAAGGCACACAAAGAACCTTAGTATTCACATGTTCTCTCCTTTGTTAACCCACTTGAGGTAGAGCTTTTTCTGTCCTGTGGCCTGCCTCCTCTAAGACCTAGCGGTTAACTTAAATTTACATGCCATGTGACTCAGGTGGTCTAGAGAGTTTCACCAGAGATCACATGTGGATTCAACACAATTACATACTTCAGATTTTTTAAACGAGGGGACCTTATGAAAGACAAGTGGCTGCAGAACAGTCCTAGAAAACTAGTTCTCTGAAAATGTGACATTAGAACAAAGGTCACATTTGCCGATTTTTATTTTGCTAACAAAGGGCAAACTGTTAATGGAGTTTATTCTAGCTCATCTAACAATATTCTACATGGTTCTTCAAATCCCTTGAGGCAGACTATACATTTTAAAATACCAAGACATTAGCCAATAAAAACAATGCAGTAAGAGTACCTTAGCTTTTTACAACAACCAAATTTATTAACTTCTCCCAAGGTTTTCACACTTGAGACTTAGAAAATTAACATTAGTATGTAATAACATTCTATTAACAATCTTCTGGTGGCAGACTAAAGACTGGCAAATGTGTGTGGCCAGTGCAAGATTGACACTCCTCCCACTGAAAGGTAGAACCAATTCCCCTCCCTGTGGATCTGGGCTGGCTTTAGAACATGTGGCAGCAATGCTCTGCTGAGACTGGGTTCTGAGAAGTCTCAGCCTGGGCATCTTGGAGTCCTGAGGCACCATATTGAGAAATGCAGTTCTTCTCCCAGTGATTAGAGACTGCATAAAGAAAGAAAACGAGTCCAAAAATGCTATGCGAGCCCCACTGCAACCCAGCCACCCCAGAGCAGACGCAAGCTCCTTTGCTGCTATCTTTCTAAATTCCTACCCCACAAATCTGTGGAAGATGGTAATAAAATGATCGTTGCTTTAGGCCACTAAGTTTAGGGGTAATTTGTTATACAGCTATATATTTTAAATTCTGTTCTTTAAATAATCAGGGTTGTAAGTAAAGCACATACTATTATTTAAGCAAGATTCATGAAAAGTCTTGCTTTGAGTGTTAGAAGAAGAATCATTATTAGAAACATTACCGAGATGTCAAATTTCATTTATTTTTGAGGAAAAAGAGGGAAGATGCTTGGGATAATTTAAGAATTACCTATTGCCTGTCTCTTCACCTGAGATGTGATGGAAGAGGCAGAGGTCTGTCTAATCTGTACTCAAGCACAACTCAACCCAAAGTAATGTCTTGAACCACCCTATAGCATCTGATGAAAGGCAAGCTCTTGGTGAGAAGAAACACGTCTAGTAACGTATTAAAGTTGCACTAGAAGAAAAAAAAACTGGCAGGAAAGTTTAGAGAGGACGGGGAGCAATTAATCAAGGGCTCAGAAACAGCATGACATGGATTCCTGCTATGAACCTGGACTCACTTTCTATGTCACTTGATTGTTTAGTTTAACTAGAAAGATGGGTATAAGGTAATTCAGCAAAAAGAGTGTGGCAGAATTCACTAACTTAAAGCTTGGGCAAATGCACTCTAGCTACTAAATGGGGCAAGGAGGGGGGACAAACAATTTATCGAACCCGTTTCTGGTTTGGCATCATAGTCCAAAAATCAGACCTGGCCACTGCAAAACTGGCTACGCAAATTCTTAATATGACATTGTGAACTGTGTTTACCTATGCAGAGTGGGGGTGGAATGGAATTGATGAAAAAAGATGGGGCGGGAAAAGGCAGCACTATAACTTTCTATAGATTTTTGGGGCACTCTATGTGTTTATTACAAATGGAAAAATTAACTGTGTTTATGTCACTGACTTTTCTAGAGCACTAC